GTGTGTGTGTGTGTGTGTGTGTGTGTGTGTGTGTGTGTGTTCCAGAGAGAGAGAGCAGGAGCAAAGGAACGGCAGCGGGAGAGGGAGAGAAAATCTTAAGCAGGCTCCGTGCCCAGCATGGAGCATGATGTGGGGCTTAATCCCACAGCATTGGGATCATGACCTCAACCGAAATCAGGAGTCAGACACTCAACCAACTGAGCCACCCGGGCACCCAAACAAACTGTATTTAAGGAGTATCTTTCAGAAATACATTAAAATATTTACTGATGAAAAACTTAACCAAAAATAAAGTAGAGGCAAGGACTAAAATAATGGAACTGCAATCTGTAGTTTCCAAACCTACAAGTTAAGAGAAAATACAGGAGGAGAGGAGGGAACATAGAAAGTGTTGACAAGCACATGACAGGCAGGAAAAGAGAAAACAGTAGCAAAGAAAAAGAATGATAAACATACCTGAAACTAATACAACATTTTGTGTCAGCTACACTTCAATAATCTAAAAAAAAAAAAAATTTAACAGAAAATCCAAAATAACATGTTTAAAATAAATTCAGATAGATCAGCAATCACAGTAAATATATCAGATTAAACTTGCTGATTGAAACTCAGACTATCAGATTGGATTTCTTACTTAGTCCAACTGTATGGGACGTGTAAGAAATACACCTAACACAAAGCCAGTGTGGTGATAAATGGATGGAAAAAAGTTTTCACTACGTAAATACTAAGCAGAAAAAAGCTGTGATGGCAGTACTTACACAAATTCACCGTCCCTCATCTGAAATCACCAGGGCTATATATGGTTAGAATACAGCTTTTTACTTTTTTTTTTCTTTTAGAACTGTTATAGGTATACATCTCTAGTATTACATTGTACTGCCAGCAGGTTCTGGTCCCAAACTCCATATTCAAAGACATTAATATTTCTTTAGCGAAATGTGTGAATATTCACACCAAGAGGATAAAAAGTATAAAATGGCTTTTCATCAGGTTTTGCTACCACATGAATATTAGTGCAAAATTCTATTTTCCATGGACAGCAACCTCATGACCTAAGCACCTCTGAAAAGCTCCACATCCTAATACCATTTTCAGGGGTTATGATTTCAACATATAAATTTTTAAGGGTGGAAGGGACACAAATGTTCAGACAATAGCACTAAATGTGAAAAAGTAAAGCTTTAAAACTTAAAAATAAGAATATATTAATATGTTTATGACATTGGGATAAAGAAGGGCTCCTTAAATAACACAAATCACAATTAAGAAAATTAATTGATAGTTTTGTCCATCTTAAAATTGTCTCGCAAGTGACACCATGAACAAAATTAAAACATAAGTTATAAGCTGGGAGAATACTGTTATAACTACAAATCAGTGAAGAATCACTAGGGAAAAATAGGCAGACTCAATCAAGCTACAAAATATCTCATAAATATTTGAAAATATGTTTAATCACATTAAGGATTGCATTAGTTAAGATAGTCTAAATTTTGCAATGTATGTCAACTTTTGCATTGGCAACAAACAGTCCCAAAAATCTCAGTGCTGTTTCACAGAGGAAGGTGGAGGCTCAAGGAAGACTAACCAAATATACAAGCCTGTTTAAACTTTCTACTTAGAAGTGACATCATTTCGGGGCACCTGGATGGCTTAGTCGGTTGAGTTTCTAACTCTTGATTTCAGCTCATTTCGTGATCTGAGCCCCATGTTGGGCTCTGCTCTAACAGTGCAGAACCTAGTTGAGATTCTCTCCCTCTCTCTCTGCCCTCACTCATGCTGTCTCTCTCTCTTAAAATAAATAAAGTAAAAAAAAAAAAAATTCTACTCACGTTCCATTGTCCAGATCAAGTCACATGGCCAAGCTTGAAGTCATAGGGCAGTATAGTATAGTTTACCTACAGGAGGAGAGTGGGGAGGGAGTAAGTGGAAACATCATTTAGTAACATCCCAGTAATCTTAATGGTTTAAAACAATAAGATCATATTAAATGTCACTCTGGTCCAAAAGCCAGAACTCAAGATGACAGAACAGCTACTGTCTGGAATATTGCTGTTCTCAGTACCTGAGGGAAAAGAACATACACTGGCTGTAAAAATGCTTCCCTCCAGAGGATTTAATGGCACCTCTCATGTTACATTTGTCAAAATAGTCATACTGGCCACATATGAGTCCAGCAGAACAATGGTGTAGAGTCCTTTGTGAGGAGTCCTTTGTAAGGCCACAAGTTCATTAATAGTAATACAGTCTACTCCAATAATTAAAACATTTCATACCCATTATTTTTTTTATTAATTTTTGAGAGAGACAGAGTATGAGTGGGGGAGGGGCAGAGAGAGAGAGGAGACACAGAATCCGAAGCAGGCCCCAGGCTCTATGCTGTCAGCAGAGCGCCCGACGCGGGGCTTGAATTCATGAACTCTAAGATCGTGACCTGAGCCGAAGTCAGATGCTTAACGGACTGAGCCATCCAGGTGCCCCGAGTTTTTATTTTAAAGTAGGCTCCACACCCAGTGTGGGGCTTGAATTCCCATCCCTGAGATCAAGAGCTGTACACTCTACCAACTGAGCCAGCCAGCATTCCAATAGATGCAGTTTCATAGGTGGTCAGATATCATATTATGGAGGTATTCAGGTGCCATTAGTGTGAATGTCATTTTCTGTTACTTTCTGTCCATGAATACCTGTTTAGAGACGCTTATTTAGTTGTCAACTAATTAATCCCCCTTTATCCACAGTTTTACTTTCTGTGGTTTCAGTTACCCATGAATTAACTGTGGTCCAGAAGCAGATGATCCTCCTCCTGACCTATCGTCAGAAGGTCACTAATAGTCTAACACTGTGTCACAGTGCGTACGTTGTTCACCTCACTTCATCTTACCATGTAGGCATTTTATTATCTCACATTATCATGAGGATGAATACAGTACAAGAAGATACTTTGAGAGACTACGTTCACATAACTTTTATTACAGTATATTGTTATAACTTGCATTTTATTATTGTTATCTGTTACTGTGCTTAATTTATACATTAAACTTTGTTATAGGTATATATGTATGGGAAAAAACATAACATATATAGGGTTGGTACTGTTCACAGTTTGGGGTATCCACTGGGAATCTTAGAACATACTTCTGCAGATAAGGGGGCACTAGTGTGCTCAGAATCCTTGTCTGTATAGAGGATTCTAACTTCAACACATTAAATTCTCCTCTTATGTGGTATCTAGACTGAAATAACAGAAAAATTCATTATGTTCTTATTGTCTTCTCAACAGAAGCAATTAGTTGCTCAAAAAATTCACATAGAAGAGAATGAGGACAGAGATACAGGACTGGAACAGAGACATAATAAAGAAGATCCAGACTGCATCAAAGCCAAGGTGCCCTTAGGAGACCTGGATCTCTATGATGGCACATACATAACTTTGGAAAGCAAAGACATCAGGTAAAAGAAAATCTCTCTCCAAAAATAAAATTAACGTGTTCCCGAACAGAACTTTCTCAAATCAGTAAATTATCTAATGAGAATAAGCTTCAATCACGAATGAGTTTATTGAAATTTGAAATTTCAAAATAACTCACATGTAGAATTCTTAAAGATTGACTTAAAATGTTGAATACTACAGTAGAAGATTGAACAGTTTATAGTAAAAGAAATACAAATGGTCCATAAACATGTGGAAAACATATTTCTCAGTAAGGATCAAATAAGTACAAATTAAACCATTTAAATTGTTTTCACCTATCAAACTGGAAAAAAATATTTAAAAATCAGTAACTGGTAAAAATATAGAGAGGCTGTCAATAGAAGTGTAAAGTGGTTTAATATTTCTAGAAAGAATTGTAAAAAGCTTTTCAAACAGTCCCATGATCTTAACATTCTTTGATACACCTACTATTTTCTAACTCTCGAATTATCTCCTTTAAGTTGAACTCTCAAAATATTGACTCCAGCAGTAGCAATGTGAAAAAGGTTGAATGTTGACTAATATTGGTTGTAAAGTAGAGATGCTATGAAAATATGGTTCCATTAGGGGAAAATTAGACATTTTTTCACCTTTCATTCATTCCTTGCTCCCTGCTTCTTAATTTTAGCCCTGAAGATTATATCGACACAGAATCTCCTGTCCCTCCAGACCCTGAGCAACCTGATTGTACCAAAATTCTAGAACTTCCATATAGTATACATGCTTTTCAGCACCTGCGAGTAAGTGGAGAGATTTAGGATCTTGTTTTCTACATTTTTTTCTGTAATTTACTCTCTTGCTTGTAAATAGTCTTTATATTTCTTCTCCTCCTCTTTCAAACAGCTTTATAATTTTACAAATATCTCCTATTTCTTAATATGCCTTTAAAATAAATGCATTAAGATACTGAGTTACTTGTGAGCTTTTGTCTTATGATCTCCTTTTTCTTTTTTTTTTTTTTAAATTTTTTTTT